TGACATATGTACATAATATGTAATAGTGACATATGTACTAGTAGGCTGACATGTGTAAGTCCAATGTCCGAAGGTACCATGGACACGAAGTTACGGTACAGAGCTCGCCGTTTGAAATTAAAGTAATAGCTAGGTATAAAAGAAGGAATTAGGTTTGAAGCCATACTTGGTATTATGATATCAAGTTGGCTGTGTATCTCGTCTACATAACTAGTGAAGCTCCGGGTGGTTATGCATGATATTTAGTCGATGGGTAGGGTTGGCAAAGATGTCAAGTTGAATAAATGGCCCCCTGGTGGGTAGCTATGGTACAGCAGCTGTTTCAAAATTGTTTAATGCTGGGTTCATGATTTTTGAGTAGTGTTGCAAGTTTGGACCCCCTGGTAGGTTGATATAAAATGATCTAAAGCATATTAAGGTTTCAGTTAGATCGGAAATTTATTTCAGTTCTGCAACCACAGCACGGCCACAGACATAAATGCAAATACACAAACAGATTCTATCAACCATACAAATAAAGAACAATACGATTCGTATACATGTAAATCATTTGTTTTGTCACACGTCCTCCAAACCAGAAAACAGACAACACTGCTATTAATGCTTCACTCACAAACTTTGATACAACAAAAGACAACAAAAACAGTTTTGCAGTTAAAAAGGCGTGCAAACTATAAGTTGCAGTTAAACAGAAGTGCAAACTATAAGTTGCAGTTTTGCAGTTAAACAGACGTGCAGACTATAAGTTGTTGTTTCGTAGTTAAACGGACATGCAAACTATAAGTTGCAGTTAAACAGAAGTGCAAACTATAAGTTGCTGTTTTGCAGTTAAACAGACGTGCAGACTATAAGTTGCAGTTTTGAAGTTAAACAGACATACAAACTATAAGTTGCAGTTATGCAGTTAGACATGCAAACTATAAGTTGCAGTTATGCAGTTAGACATACAAACTATAAGTTGCAGTTATGCAGTTAGACATGCAAACTATAAGTTGCAGTTTTGCAGTTAGACATGCAAACTATAAGTTGCAGTTATGCAGTTAGACATACAAACTATAAGTTGCAGTTATGCAGTTAGACATGCAAACTATAAGTTGCAGTTATGCAGCTAGACATGCAAACTATAAGTTGCAGTTTTGCAGTTAAACAGACGTGCAAACTATAAGATGCGGTTTTGCAGTTAAAAAAGACATACAAACTATAAGTTGCAGTTATGCAGTTAGACATGCAAACTATAAGTTGCAGTTATGCAGCTAGACATGCAAACTATAAGTTGCAGTTTTGCAGTTAAACAAGACATGCAAACTATACGTTGCAGTTATGCAGTTAGACATGCAAACTATAAGTTGCAGTTATGCAGTTAGACATGCAAACTATACGTTGCAGTTATGCAGTTAAACAAGACATGCAAACTATACGTTGCAGTTATGCAGTTAGACATGCAAACTATAAGTTGCAGTTATGCAGCTAGACATGCAGACTATAAGTTGCAGTTATGCAGCTAGACATGCAGACTATAAGTTGCATGCAGTTTTGCAGTTACACATGCAAACTATAGATTGCAGTTATGCAGTTAGACATGCAAAACTGTAGGTATCTAACGTTGTGAATCAGAGGTTATAAACCTTTACTAAGTCCAGTGCTCGGAAGGTGCCTTGTACAAGACGATACAAGCTTTATAACAGGGCATGACAATGCAAACTATAAGTTGCAGTTATACAGTTAAACAAACATGCAAACTATACGTTGTATGTATTTGCAGTTAAGCAGCTTTACTAAGTCCAGTGCTTGGAAGGTGCCTTGTACAAGACGATACAAGCTTTATAACAGGGCATGGCCCTTCAACTTAAAATCATGGTACTGATAGAAGCAAATGTTTGACGCCATTGTTTTGAAGGCCACGGTGTTAGGTTGGTGGGACCTGACAAATAAACTTCCTTGGGGTGGCACACGCCATATCGTTCCAAGTGTCCCTGAGGGCAGCTTCATACCAAGTCGCGGAAACATACTCCACACAGTCCTGGTCACCTCCGGAGTCACTGGGTTCTCTTGGACCCCACGGATGGAAACTTCCAAGAGCAGTACCGTCTTCCCACACCCATCTTCTTTCATGGCCGATGCAATTCAGTCCGAAGAAAAAGGCAGTGTTTAGATCAACGGCATTCTTCAGGTTGATGAGGAAGTTGTCGATGGCGGCATTGCGGGGCATGGCGAGGGTTCCGCCGTAAGAAGAACAGGTTGCTTTAGCATCGTTGTACTTACTCAATCGGTTGAAGGCCTTGTAGCACAGTCGGTTAGTCTGACGGTATGTGTACCCACTGGGACAAGCTGGGGAAGAGTATGGTTCAGATAATCAGTGATTTGCTTTCATGGCAAATGCATTAACAGACACACACACACACACACACACACACACACACACACAGACTATTGTACTTTATAGGAGGCAATAAAATAAGCTGTGGATTGGATGGTAATGGTGTATGTGTAGAGAATGTGGAAACGAAGGTCAAGTTCGAAAATTGCGTTCACCTGTCTTTTTTCTACAGTGCTGCAACTGGATGTGTATGTACTAGTATGTATGTATGTATAAATGTGTGTTTGTATGTATGTCGACTACATAACTAAAGAGGCTTTTGGCGGTCATGCATGATGTTGGATATGTAGGAAAGAGGAAGTTCAAGTTCGAGAATGAGTCTTCTAGTGTGTATAACAGCAGCGTCAAAGTTTCAGGTAAAATTTTATGGAAGTGCCAGGTTCGTGATTAATGAGCAGTAGAAAGCTCTTGGTGCTGGGATGATGTAAAGAAAAACGTTCAGGTTAAAGCAATAAATATTACAGTTCTGCAACCACAACACAAACACAAATAATCACGTACAATCAGATAACTCCACGCAAAAATAGCGAAACTATTCGTGTCGTATACATACATTTGATTTTTTTGCTTATCACGCGTTCTTCAAAACAGACAACAGACAACACTGCCAATTGCTTCACTCACAAGTGGCAAACTTCGAAAACACACAAAAAACACAAGCCACCAGCTTTGTAGCTCAACGGACATGCAGGGTTATACGTTGTATAATTACTCACACAGTGAAGGAGAGGTTATAAGCCTTTAATAGGTCCAGTGCTCGGAAAGTGCCCTGGACAAGACGATACAGGCTTCATAAGGGCCCACGACATTTGAACTTAAAAGCGTGGTACTGAAAGAAGGAAAAATTTTAACGCCGTTGTTTGAAGGCCATGGTGTTAGGTTAGTGGGACCTGACAAATAAACTTCCTATCATTGAAGTAACACGAAATATCGTTCCACGTGTTCCTGGCGACAGTTTCCCCCCAATTCGCGGAAGTATACTCCCCGCAGTCCTGGACACCTCCATCGTCGCTGGGTTGTCTTATACCCCACCGATGGAAACCTCCAAGAGCAGTACCGTCTTCCCACTCCCATCTTCTTTCATGGCGGATGCGAATCAGTCCGAAGAAAAAGGCAGCGTTTTTATCAACGTCATTCTTCAGTTCGATGAGGAAGGTGTTGATGGCGGCATCGCGGGGCATGGCGAGGGTTCCGCCGTCAGAAGTACAGGTTGCTTTAGCATTGCTGTAGTCACTCTCCTGGTCGTAGGCCTTGTAGCACAGTCGACTAGCCTGATGGTATGCGTACCCGCTGGGACAAGCTGTTTCGGAGAAGAGTATGATTCAGGTGATCAGCGATGTCCTTTCGCGGCAAATGCATTAACACACACAATTGTACTTTATAGGAGGCAATAAAAGAAGCTGTGGATGGATAGTGATGATGTATGGGTAGAGGTTGTGGAAACGAAGGTGAAGTTCGAAAATTGCGCTTTTCTGCGGTACTGCACCTGGGTATGTACGTGTTTGTATGTCGACTACATGATTAGAGAAGCTTTGGGTGGTCATGCACGATGTTGGATATGTAGGAAAGAGGAAGTTCAAGTTCAAGAATGAGTCTTCTAGTGTGCATAAAAGCAGCTTCAAAGTTTTAGGTAAATTTTCTGGAATTCCAGCTTCTTGATTTATAAGTTGTAGAAAATCTGGAGCTGAGAGATAGTAGGGCGATGTAAGCCCCCCTCCTCCAGGTAGGATTTTTTTAAGAATGACATAAAAACAAACTTCCTGGTTAAAGTGGGAATTTATTTAATTTCTGCAACCACGGCACGCACATAAATACTTGTGTGCAACCAGATGCCATCACCACAGGCATAAAACATAGCAAAACTATCCGTGTGTAGTATGCATGTTTATCGTTTGGTTGAAAAAAAATAGTAAAATTTGGCCTTAAAAGTCCACAGAGGGTCCAGTTTGCCTGCACATGGAACTCCCCAGGCCACCTACCTTCTTTTAAGACCGATTTCTACTATTTCTTCACCCTGCAAAGGAGGCTGGTGGAGACATAATTTGGTAGCGCACGGCATTTGAACTTGACATGGCTTTGAAAAAAGGAAAGTGTGTGACGCGGTCTTTTTTAAGACCATTCTGTTAAGTCGGCGCGACTTGGCAAATGAAAGCAAACTTCCTAGAGGGGTTGTCGGAGCACGAAATATCGTTCCACTTGTTCCTGGCGGTAGCTATCGCGAGATTTCCTGAGTAATACTCCGCACAGTCTTCGTTATTACGTAAGTTGTTGGGTTCTCCTGCACCCCATGAACCGAAACCTCCAAGAGTAGTACCATCCTCCCACACCCAGCGTCCTTCCTGTTGGATGTCAGTCAGTCCGAAACGGAAGAAAGCGTTTTCATCGACGGCATTCTTCAGGTTGATGAGGAAGGTGTTGGTGGCGTCATCGCGGGGCGATGGCGAGGGTTCCGCCGTCAGAAGAACAGGTTGCCTTAGCACCGCTGTAGTCCCTCTCCAGGTTGTACGCCTTGTAGCACAGTCGGCTAGGCTGACGGTATGTGTACCCACTGGGACAAACTGTTTCGGGGAGAGGATGGTTCAGATAATCAGACATCTTGCTAGTCACGTCGTATTGCCATGCATCGCGATGTACTATCATGGTAAATTCACACCAACTACATTGTACATGTAAAGTGGACTACAATCTTGGAATAACATGCGTTATATTACGGCTACGCTATAGATCTATGAAGTTATCATAGCAGCGTTGGAATCCAGGGATTTGTACAGGGTATCTATGACTGACAAACTGAGAAATTGGAAAGCAGTGGTGACCCGCATCGTCAACAGACGTGAGCGGCAATGATAATGATGACGGATTGGGATTATGATCGATGGATATAGTAATGATGATACATAATGTGATAAAGTGCATTGCAATCTGACCAAGAGGCATGGTTGATTTCACTCTGGTTTAATAACATGAATGTCGCGAGTTTAAACATCCATTGGGCATTGTATTGACCAGTATTATGTTGGGTCATTCTGGTTCATGAACTGCAAGCTGATCACACCACATTCGGTGGGTACATTGGGCATGATGCTACAGTAGAATTGCGTTAGCGAAAAGGTTGTTTTGATATTAGTAACACCTTTCTTTCCAAAATCAATGCACCTTCAACACCAAACCTTGGGACGGATTGTGTCTACGATGGTCAGCAGGTTTGAAAACGATGCCTCAAACACGTGCTGGTTAACGGGCCTGCTAGCCATGTTGTTAAGGGTTTGCCTCAGGGCATTTGCAATGCCAACGCAAAAGATTGTGGTGCCATCGTTTCTCAGTGCTTCAGAGTCCGATACGACATCTCCGCTGAAACTGTCTTCGCCGTCTGTGAGGACGATCCCGATCTTCCTTGCTGTCGGTCGCCCGGAAGTGGAGAATTCGTTACGCATAACGGACAAACCCGCGACAGAGGGAACTCGGCTGCCGTGACTGTCAAACATGGTGCTGATCATAGATACCAAAGTAGGCTTACTGCCGGTGAGAGAAATGTACGTCTCGGCATTGCTATATTCAAATTTGATCAGCCCAACTCTCGCGTAACTTCCCCCTATTGTGACGGAGTCTATTACATCTCTAATAAAGGCCATGACCATTGCTCTATCGGAAGGGTCCGAAACGCTGCCGGAAACGTCGATCGAAAAGATGATGTCAGCTGCGCTGTCGCAAGCTAGAGAATATAGATGAAGAACAGGCATCTGTCAAAATTTCAGCTTATCTGTGTATTATAGGCCTCCTGATATGCTAGCTTACTTTTAGCTGTCAAAGAGAAGATAGCATGCATTACGAGTAAGTGAGTTAGGAAGTGAGTAATGAAATGAATGGTAGAGTAAAAGAAATGTATGACGACCTACAAGTGTACTCTTACATTCTACATGTATTTTCCTCTATATACCAAACACATTAAACAAAACATGCCCTAGCCTAGAGTTCCTTTGTTGTTCTATCTCTCAAATAAGGGAGACACGTACCTACGCAGGTAGGGACCGTGCCTGTCCACTGTCCGTCCGACCCGCACACGACCTGAGATGACCCCAGCAGGTGGTAACCATGGTTACAGCTGAAGGTGCACCTGTCGTTCACCAGTCGGTCAGTACAGTTCACCCTGCCGTTCCGGGGGTTGGCAAGAGCCGGACACTCCACTGAAATGTAAACACGTGCACGTACCACAGTTAGTCAAACTTTCAATATACTCGCACTAGGTCAGAAATTTAAGTTGTACATTAGGATACGTTCCTTTTAGGATACATATTTCTCTTACATGTATCGTATACTTTACTCATGCCATTGATATAAGCAATTTTTTTTTCAATGTGGCACCCATATCACTTCCAGGTGAGAGGAGCAAATTTGCACTCAAGTGACTAAACTACCAACATGGCTGACGCTGAAGGACGTGTGCAAAACAATCATGTGAGACGTGTGCAAACTAATCACGTGGAAAATGCTATACATGTAAGTAGTTTTCTTCATCTCCTCATCAGCAAGACTACTTTGTCTTTGGGTGTACGCTATTTGATTTGATTTATTGAAATTGCAACAGTGCAATACACGCGGAACAGAGGCAGCTGTTGCTGGTGTTGCGTCCCGCGCACATAGAAACGGATACTGGACAGACAATACTCATTTTCACTTGAGTCTAGTGGGGAAAGTCGTGTAAAGTGCCTTTCCCAAGGGCACAAGATCGGTGGCATGTCAGGACTCGAACCCGGGACTTCTTGATTCCGAGTCGCGCACGCTGCCGTTGCGCCACACGACTCCACGCTATTTCACTCAGCCATCATACGAGGGTGCAGAATAGCTGTTATAGATTCAACAAAAATTACAGGGACTTTCGTGTGATCATTTAAAACTAAAGCTCTAACAAAACTACATACATGTATAAATAAAGCCACCCTATATGATTACCGGTACACGTGGTAGAGCTCCCGGACCACCTGCGATTCGCCTGGCAGGTTCGCCTGGTGCTGCCGGACAGCCGGTAGCCACTGTTACATCTGAAGGTGCAAGTCTCGGGGTAGCGGAAGGAGGATCCTCTGTTACAGGTCGTTATTCCATTGGTTGGCCTGGGGTCCGGGCATTGCACACCTGGAGTTGGGAATGTGTTGTTAACCACTAGGAATGTTTGTGTTTTTGCAGGTCCCCGTCAACAATGATGACGAAACATCATCATAGACATCGTAGACGAGTCGAATGTCACATATGAAAGACATTTTGACCAGTAAACAGCTACTCTGCAACACCGTAGAAATAGTCAGTACTGCTTGCTCCATGACAAGTATAGTTTTGTTAGTTTATCTAAAAACTTGACAACGTAGTGCATACCGATGCACACGGCGTCGTTTCCAGACCAGGTAGCATCAGTCTGACAGCGTCTTACCCTGCTTGTGTGGGTCGTGAGTTCGTAGCCTCGATCGCAGGCGAAGTTGCAGACCTCAGGATACCGGAAATAGTAGCCGCTGTCGCAGGACGTCATTGTACCGTGTAGGGGACTCGATATGTTCGGGCATTTCACGGCTGAGATGTAGACCAGATTTAAAACGGGAATTGCAATCAATGATACCAATGACTTGGTGTTCTATATAATCAGTATCTTTTTCAACTTGCTGGCTGTTTCAATTTCAAAATCAGAGCAAATGTCCAAACCTGAATACTATATACAGGATATGAGATGTTCAGCTGTACCTACAGTACATGTTGAGTAAGATTTTTGGACTTACCTAAGCACGGTATGGTCCCGTTGGTGTTTATGTCGAAAGGAATGGTCCAGTTGCCGTCATGACCACAGGAGTACTCGGCATAGATCAGCCTGTCGTAACCAGGGTTACAGTGGAGCAGACAGACGACCTCGTACTCCGCCGCCGTGCTGTCAGGTGATTGGCAGAAGTCAGCTGCAGGGGATGCCGGGATAGAACATCCGAAGTAACCGTTCTCCGGTTCAGTGACCTGTGAGGATGAAACAATATCTTATTTGGTGTACTTGCAGGTGGTGTCATCAATTACACATATGTGTAGCTGCCAAGTTGGTGGACATATATTCAAGTAGGCTACCTCTCAATCAAAACGCAACCCTTAAATTAACACTTAAATCTGGCAGTGCAGAAGATTATACAGGATTCTGTTCAGATAAAGATTCAACACTTCGGTATATTCTCTGCAGCATATTTTGCTCTTGAAACCCCTTTCCGTTAAACATTTTTGCATATTTTAGGAGGGGAGGGCATTGAGAGATTGGGAAGGAATTTTACTCACCGGGAAAGGCGGACAGTGGGTTCGTTCACAGCGTCTCCCGTCCCCGACCGTCCCGACCCGGCAGCGGCAGCTGAAGGTCTGGTGGCCCGTCAGGTCGCAGATCCCGTGCTCAGGGTGGCAGTCGTGCAGGCCGAGCAGGCAGTAGTCGGATGGGACGCATCTTGGGAAAAGTTGAACGAAATTTTAATTGATATTTCCGTTTTTTTACGACAAGTTCTCCCAGAGTGGTAAATGTGATCTTAAAAGATAAGAAAATTTCTTCACCTAGGCTTGTCGTTCCATTGTCCAGTTGCCATGCACGTGAAGCTGTGTAGACTGTGGAGATGAAGGTCCTGCTCATTGCCGACTTTGTACCCGGGCTCACAGGTCAGGCGGCAGGAGTCCTGGTACCTGGTACCGCTGCACGTCAGGCTGCCGTTGGCAGGGCTCTGGGCGGTAAAGAAAAGTCATCTGTTGTTGTTTTCAGTAACGACAAAAATTGCTGCAGAATTCAATACTTCAAGAAGACTTCATGCTGCAAATATTTCAGTTGTACTACAGTTTAATGTATCAGGTTTGATACGCTTCAGAGTACTTACATTAAGGTTGCCGCAGTCCTTCTTCTGACAGAACAGATCTGGTCCCCCAACAACTGACTGGAGCGCTATAGTTCAAAAAGGAACAACAGTATTACAAAGCTAAACGTCGAAGAAAACGTCAATTCTACTACAATTTGTTGTATGTCACGATTGCATGTGCACTTGGGTTTGCTTTCGTTGGCTGTTCTTGGGAAAAGGTCGCTGTAAAGAGAAGCAGAAGTTCGTACCTCCCTCCTGCAGGCTCCAGTTGCCGCTGCTATGACAAGCTACGCTCTGGTGGTTCGTTCCTTCGTACCCGTCCGCACAGGTGACGCCGCAGGTGTTCCCGTAGGTGTGTCCGCTGGCGCACTGTAGGGCGGTGTTAGGGAACTCAGGAGGGGAGCCGCAACTCACTGTTAAAAGATAAACACTTTGTCAATATTTTAAAACGTGTCCAACATTTTGTGCATTTAAATCGTAGTCTAGCGTTTGACTACATCGTTGTTTAATTTGGACTACGTCGCTCACATTTAGACCATATTCTTTGACTAGCAGGATATGTATAGTAGTACATGTACCTGGAATGCACTCCGGTTCCCCACTCCAGAGTTGGTAAGGCAGGCAGGTGAAGTTGCCTTGTCCCAACCGTTCGTAGCCGTCCTGACAGGTGAGATGACACGTCTCGCCGTACGTGGTACCTGTACAGCTGACGTCACCGTGTACCGGGATCTGTGCACACATAAGGTGGTCATGAGTGAACCTTAGACTTTTAGTCTGATCTTTGGTACATATTTACTAATCTCCATGCAGATGCAGTCCATCTAATAACCATGTCGAAAGGGAAGATTGTTTGGATCTTCAGTCTCGTCTTCCTGATAAGTTAACCTTTTTTTGTGTCGCTATTACATTTCCTTTCTATCTGGTATCCACTTGAAGATTATACTATGCATAGACTATGGCATGCGTTTGCAACCCAATAACTAGTCTCGTTTTTCAGATAAGTTGCCATGTTACTATTTATTCTTCTATTATATGCTTGATGATAGGGCTTATGCAGAGTATGCATTATGTACTTGATGGTTCGAATAAACATACTTACCGAAATGTTCCCACAGTCAGCGATGACACAAGCCAGAGTCTGTGGGATGATAATGTCTGGCAAAAAAGATGAAAGGTCGATTAGAATGCATTTCATCACTATATACATGGCAAACATAATACCCTTCCAAAAGTGATCCGACCTAGACAATGGCATGTCCATAATCTCCCACCTGCTGACACAGCATTTTCCATCTCTGTCGTGTTCCCTCTGCGGAAGGCGGTCCAGTTTCCGGTCCAGCTGCAGCCCAGGGCGTGGTCCGTTTCCGGTAGGTACCCTACGTCACAGATGACGTCACAGCGGTCCGAGAACACGTGACCCTGGCACAGGTACGATCCGTGCGGGGGGTCCTCAGGTTGACTGCAGTTTACTATATGATGACCAACATATTAATTTACAGACAACATTGATACCAAAGATCCACATTGAAAAGCAGAGGGGAAGTGGTTATCTATGCATATCTCAAAAGAGAAAATGGCATTTTGTTAGTTACGGACCTAACAAAAAATAATCACATAAAAACAACCTACCTTGGTCACACTGTGCGGGTTTGTCCCACTGTCCAGAAGCGTTACACGTCAGTACAGGGTGCCGGGGCAGGTAGCCTCGCTGACAGACCACTCGGGCTTCTGACATGTAGGTCGTTGAGCTGCTGCTGAGTTTGCCATGAGCTACATTCTTTGAAAAAGACAAAGACTTGTTAGTCGCGTTGCCTTCGGACTGTAAGTAAATTGATTGGTTAGGTAGATAAGAGATTAGAAATGCGGTATGTATTTGGCAAGAAAACCTTACCTCAGACTCTCCTCCACAGTCCATAAGTCTGCACACCGGATGCTTGGTCGCCCCGAACGTCTCTGCAAGAAGACATTCACAAATTACACGACTGTGTAAAGCATGGTCGCGAACAATTAAAAAATGTATATGAAATGACAAGTAAACTTCATCATCATCATTATTTGTTTATTTCAAACACAATATTTAAAACTTGGTGGTATTGGGGGTATATATTGTCTTTGTCAGAAAAGACAGAAAAGTTCATTCTTTAACGGAACGACGTTAACAACACCCAGGCACGGTTCTGCATAGTCCACGCATAATCCAGAACCGTGCCTGGGACAACTACGTTTTTGGATACGCGAAGACTATCCAGAACCGTGCCTGATCCTGACCCAATGATCAGGTATAGCGCGAAATAGGCACAGTTTTGGATACATCATGGTCCCGATTCACCCTACCTAGGCGAGACAGAAGCTGCAAGAAGTCCAGGTGGGCCACGATGTCTTCAAGAATTGGGCCGATCCATTCCAACAGCTGCCGCATCATGTCGAAATCGATGATGTTGTCCTCTGAGATGATGTCTAAATATGTCTCCACGATAGGAAGGTGAGGGGCGTTAATCTTCACCAAAATGCCACGCGCGGCGTCCGCGTAGATTTGGTCGGAGATGCCAAGGGGCTCGAACCACTCAGGATCGGTGTTCGGCATCGTGTCGGCAGCCCGACCGACGCCGACGAGTGTCGACACGACTTCGGGTGCGATTGGCGCCCATCGGCCGCGGTTGCAGAACAGCAGGCCCGCGTCATCGGTCTGGTAGCCCACGTCACACTTGGCGATGCACATGCGCACGTAGATGTTGTAGTAGGCGATGCTGGTGCAGTTGAAGTCGCCGTGACTTAAGTCAGGAAGTGACGTGTTGCCACAAACTGGAGAGAGGCAAATGAAAAACCATCAGAAATAAAAATTATGTTGGGGTCGTTTGGTGTAGCGGCAGAGTGCACGACTCGGAACCTAGTGGTCCTGGGTTCGAGTCCTGACATGCCCTTGGGAAAGGCACTTTACACGACTTTCCTCACTTAGCTCAGGTGTAAATGAGTATTGTCCTGTCATGTATTTGTCCCCTCTGTTGCTGGCGGCATTAATATAAGTTGAAACAACTTGAGCGTGCCGTCACCACGTCTGGTGATTACATGTTGGAATAGAAAAAAAATATCAGTAAAATTATCTTGTTTGCTACGCTTGACTCAACTTTTGGCACAAACCGATCTTTTACTGGATTGTTGTTGTTATTTAGGTTTGGACGTAACTGAAAAGACCAACGCATGAGTGTGCTGTTGCTAAAGCATGGGTTTCGCGGAGTTAAAGCAGCGGCATAGAGTCTTGTATGTGTGGGCTACGGTAGAAAGCAACTCACACTCTTCCACAGGCAGTGGCACTGGCAGTTGCGGACGGTATCCAGGTGGCAGTATCGCTGATGTGTCCCCTCCGGCGGCCTGGAGCGCCAACTGGTACCACCTCTGCATCTCCGGAGAAAACTGCTGCATCCACGCAGGCACCGGCTCAGGAGTCTTGTATACTGTCGAAACATCGGGAAGACATAATAAAGGCTCCGAGAATTGAAAGGCTCCGAGAATAGAATACTGTAGATGGCCATAAAACAAGGCTAAATGAAAAAAAAAGTAAAAGAGAGCCCACTGGCCCGGTCAAAACAGCTGCAATGCTTTAAGACAATTCAGTGTTGAAGCTGAAATTGAACCGAAGCCCGATCACTTAATACAATTGTCTTGAAATGTATTTCTCAATGTAAATTCTCAATGTAAAAAGACAAAGTCGTTAAGATGCAAGCTTTGAAAAACTAGTTCCAAATCCAGTGCCGACCTTTGTTGTGTAGTGGTCGGGAAAAGGTCCTAATAAGGTCCTGAGTGTGTGACAGGTGCTTTAGTTACGTCACTCACCTGGTATGACGTTGGTCTTGAAGAGAACAGCGAACACCACCGCTGTCAGGACGGCCAGGCAGTAGAAGATGGCGGCGAGGATGAGCAGCGTGTCCGGTCGCTTCCTGGGCGGCGGGTTCAGGGAGGAGCCGTACCCGTACAGCGGCGGGCCGTACGGCCTCCACACGGCGCCGGGCTTCACCTGCTTCCCGCCGAACAGGGAGTCACAGCTCGGCTGCCTTTTTAGCTTCTGTAGTGGGCTCTTTGAGAAAAAATACAACATGCATTCGCAAATTGCCCAAGAGGACCACTCATACACTGCACGATAACTTAGATTTACCGGGTCAGTAGAGTTTGGCAATGTTTACTTTGTTTTTTAATAAACACTTCAGAACTTTACAATGGTAGTAAATGAAGGTCAAGTAGGTAATACCGGACTTAACAAGGGTTGTAAAGGAAATTACTGCACTTGATCTTTATTTACTGCCATTGTAAAGCCAGATACTGTATAACGGAAGTAAACATTACCTGAGTTTACAACCTTTGGTAAATCCAACTTTTCGTGCAGTGATAGGACCGACAAAATCTGTTCCAGGTGGTCACTATATATATTGACATGATTGGTACTACTGAAAAGTAGTCTCATTGGCCAGAATGAGACAGTTACTGTTTTAGAACAAACTTAAAGGATACAAACTTAATTTACACCTTTTTCTATAATACAACAAGTGCTACATTGTATATACAGGTGGCAAATGACAGTAGAGCTATAAGAAATAGAACGCGTACCTTTCCCACTTTTGACTCCAATGACACGGTCTCCTTAGTTTCTCCACGATGTGACTTTTCAACCTTCTCTTCGACAGCAATGTACCTTTGAACAGGCCTAGGTAAAGTACCAGTGATCAAATATTGACAATGTCCTTCGTCCTCATATACTGTTTGTAACCTCTTATCTGGGATGGAATGTAACAACGCTTGAATGTATTTGTTCAGTTCAAAGTCGACATCTATGATTATTGTTGTTCCGCCGTGGTATGCTTGCAACTAATGCATGCAGCTGTGACTGATCTTCTAGCAAATGTAAGGATCAGGCCCATTGCTGCCGTTTTGCGCCTGTTTAGCGACACTGGTACTTTTTTCCGTAATTTTTATACAGGGTTGCCCATCAAGTGATTGCACTTCTTTTCAATGGAGCCCTGTTTTACACAACAAAACACAACAGTCACATACAAACAACGAAAATTAGGATAAAATGAATAATGATAATGGAAATGATAATAAAAAAAACATAAATAACCAATAACATTAAAATGAATGTTGCTGCTAACATTAATAAATGTTATTGGTAATTTTTTATGGAATCGCGTTTTACACGGTTCTCCAACATATTCTGTGACTGTAAGTTAACAAAACAAATGTTTAAATGACTTACTGATAATCTGTGAGGTCCGGAGGGGGTGTGGGGTCTCTGGGGATGTCTTCGTCTTCACTTTCACTGCTGAAGTCATCCAGTGTCACGTCCGTCTAAGACATAGACAGCGTTGACACAGATCATAACGTCATAAAAAAGCCACTTTGTATTGTCACTTATTTTTATTCAATATGTAGTTTTTTTCGTGTATTTTGCTGCATTAATTACATTTCTCACTGAACCCGACCTACAGACCAAACTTCGTGCTGGCCCTTCGCATCTGAGCCTCATCTTCCTTTTTTTCTGACCTTAATTTTTATTTACTTCCTGTTGGCACTTCCTACAGATTCTGGGCCAGGACTTAACTTCCCGATTTATGTCTGATCAGCACTTCCTTACAACTTGACCTTGAGGTCAATCTTTGGTAATCTCTTCAACACTGTACAACGGTCAAATACCTACAAACACAAGCATACATACATGTATGACAAACAAACACACCCAAACAACGTTAACACAACAAGAACGAATCCTACTTGTTGTTCCTGATGCTCCTCCCGTACTGCCAAGTCTCCCCACATGAAGGACCTGTTGGCTTGCCTGCTCGGCGCCGACACCTGCGAATGGAAATTATACTTATGTTGGATACTGAACAGGGTTATTAAGGAATATGGAAGCCTCATAGTGTTTTAGTGGCAGTGAGTTGAGTTGTTGATTCACTGTGCCTAGGATATGGTATTGAAAGACGGGGCCCATCGCCCATCCCTCTCCTTCCACCGCCTTTTTAAACCTGGATGAGGTGAGGAAAGTTGTCTAAAGTGCATTTACCTTCGAAGGACACAGCGTCTAGCCAGAAAATCCAGAAATAGAATCGGTGACCTCCTGATATATCGTGTTTGCTAACTTTTTCACTCGGTCATCCGACGTTGATCTACTAGTAGTAGTACTTTCTACCTAGGACTAACAAGAGAAGAAGAGTACTTTGAGTGTCAAAAGCCATTTTCATCAAAACACTTCCGTTTTCATAAAAAAGTATTAAAAATAACAAACCTTAGGTTCTGGTACCGGCGGTACATTGCCGATGTCTCTTGTCGCCGCCGATGTTGGCCGACTAGTCTTGTGTTCAGGCCTGCGCCGTCTGCCCCAGGTCCGCCCGGTTAAGTCCCCCCGAGGCCCCAAATGGTCACACCGGGTCGTCCAGGCTGTTTTAGTCGGGCCGTGAGGCGACCTGCCCCGGGGGAGAAGCCTGGTGCTGCCCGGTGAGGAAGACATCGCTCTGAAGCGAAAAAATAAACGCAAATGAATGCAAAGCAAATACATGTACATACAGTGCTCTCCAAGTAAGGTTTTAGGCTACGGCTTATTTTTGACGTGATTTTAGACGTCTTTCTTATGTTTTGTACCGGTATCGGTGTATCAAATGGATACTGCCCTGCCAATAATTATCTATTGTCAATTTGATGCTGTCTTTCAACCACCAGATATTTGCTTGGAGTTTAGCTTTTAGCTCTCGGCCCAATACATTGCACACAGCAAATAAGTGCAAAACAAATACATGAACACATATTGAACTTTAGAAAGCGCCAGGTGGTGTACTTAACTGTCAACAACGGGGCAAAAACAGACTTTTATACAAATGAAATCGCAGCATGTCCAACCTGGCTAAAACTCCCAGACTAGACAGAGAAAATCTATCTCACCTGTTCCAATACATTGCACACAGCAAATAAGTGCAAAACAAATACATGACACATATTAAACATTAGGAAGCGTATGGGCTCACAAAACTGTGGACTATGGGGCAAAAACAGACTTTTATACAAAGTAAATCGCAACATGTCCAACCTGGCTAAAACGTCCATACCAGACAGAGAAAAACTTACCTGTGCTGAATACCTGTGAACACCTGTAATTGCCGCCTGCAGGTGTTGTTGTGAGTTTATAAGGCGCAAGGACGTGACCCGCTCGAACTTCTGCGTTTCCTGGTTGAAATTTAACCCATAAATTTTTCAGTAGGCCGACAGCTGTATTCATAATGACGCTGTAAACAACTGCTGGACACCATAGGTTATTCCACTACTACTGTACCTACACGTTACGGGCTAAAAATAGTACATGGTGTCCGCGAGTCTCGGCTCAATTTATATCAAGAGATATTGATTGTTATTTATTATCCCATGTTATTGGTTGGCCTTGACTTTTATTCGTAGTTGGACCGCTGAAAATTGTTTGTTTATTGATAATGATGTAGTTATGTACGAAACAAACCAAATCTATTATCAGCATTTTATGGCAAGGCCGTGCTGTGGCGCCACCTAGCGATATCTACAAGAAGTCTACCCTAGCCTGTAAGTGACACACTCGAGCATGAGCACGTCTAAAATTAAAATAAGGCCCTTGGCAAAGGGACTAACACACAACTGTTAAAAGCAGAATAGCGTAATGAAAAAGCCATAAAAATGAAGCACAGTCACAGTCAGCCAGCTGACAGCGCGTTTGATTGTAGAGCAAACTCTCAGTCGTCCGACGCCATTAAAAGTGGCCATTAAATGAGCTCCTCTGAAGCATTGTTGAAACGCAATGAGAATGAGAAGGAGTTTTTATTCTCAGAACATCATGGCGGAGTCAGAGTGACAAGACTTAGGATCATCAGAACTTTATTGACCCAACAAAAAGTACAGCAATTTCCGTAAGGTCTTAACTACATGTAGACATACAGAAAAAAACACGGAAATTAACCTACATACAAGACAATAGATGAATCAACTTATACTACTTGTTTTAAGGTCTAAACATTCTTTGATATATTTACCTACCTGTACACAGTAAGGGTTATCACATTCTGTGATCCCTGTGATGTCATGACGAAAACTCATTAACATAAACAAACCCGTGTGGGGTGAGCGACAAATAGCTCAAGTGAGTTTCAAAGTACATCGTTCAGGACAAAGTTCACCAGTAGGGTCACAGCTTGTTATTGAGTACAGGTGGAAACCACCCTGTATTCTGGGCAACATGAGTCATGCGTGGAAATCCCCTGTAAGTAAACATGTAGCGGCGGTATAAAAGTAGCGCCATCAACTGTAGGCGGCAGTGAGACAGTATGTATATAACATACGGACATTCCTCGACTTCCAAAAATTTGTCTTCACTTTATTTGCATATCAATCAATAGGTTGTGCTTATAAACCTGCTTTCCCCTCTGGTCTCTCAGTCACTGACGAAAGCTAGTGGATACTAGCTGAACCGTCTGACGTTTTCAAAATCATATCCAGTTGCTTGAGTAACTGCTTTTTGGCGTATCGTATTACCTGGATGTCTAACCTTCATCGACGTAAAGCCAACTGGGGCCTACAGACCCTTTGTCATAGAGCGATACTGAATAGTTTTTAGTAATTCGTAGTTGGGCCGCTCAAAATCATTTGCTTATGGATAAAGATGTAGTAAGGTACGAAACAAACCAGATCTATTATCAGCATTTTATGGCAGGGCCGTGCTGGGGCGCCACCTAGCGATATCTACAAGAAGTCTACCCTAGCCTGTAAGTGACACACTCGAGCATGAACATGTCTAAAATTAAACTAAGGCCCTTGGCAAAGGGACTAACACACAACTGTTAGCAGCAGAATAGTGTAATGAAAAAGCCATAAAAATGAAGCACAGTCACAGTCAGCCAGTTAACAGCACGTTTGATTGTAGAGCAAACTCTCTTTCGTCTGACGCCATTACAAGTGGCCATTAATACATAAATAAGCTCGTCTGAAGCGTTGTTGAAACTCAAGGAGAAGTTTTGATAATCAGAACATCATGGTGGACTCAGGTAGACACGACTGAGGATCATGAGATCTTTATTGACACAACAAAAAGTACATTGACTTTCTTAAGGTGTTAGACCACATGTAGACAATCATACAGAAAAAATAGGAAACTAACCTACTACAAGGCAATAAGTGAATCAACTTTCGTATGGTCTTAACTACATGTTGACATACAGAAAAAAAAACGGAAATTAACCCACATACAAAACAATAGATGAATCAACTTATACTAATTGTTTTAAGGTCTAAACATTCTTTGATATATTTACCTATTTGTACACAGTAAGGGTTATCACATTCTGTGATCCCTGTGATGACATGACGAAAACTCATTAACATAAACAAACCCGTGTGGTGCGAGCGGCAAACATCTCACGTGAGTTTCAAAGTACTTCGTCTTGGTCAAAGTTCACCAGTAGGGTCACAGCTTGTTATTGAGTACAGGTGGAAATCCCCCTGTATTCTGGGCAACATTAGTCATGCGTGGTAATCCCCTGTAAGTAAACATGTAGCGGCTATATAAAGTAGAGCCATCGCCTGTAGGCAGCAGTGAGACAGCTGTTGGTGTGCTGAGGACATCAAGCAGCATCTTCAGCATCATCTAACGGCTGTCCGGCCAGAAGCAAGTGGACACAACCGTCGCTCCAATATAACTTCAGGTACGTGAGCTTCGACAATGTTTGCATTTGCATAGTATTAACCACAGTTTTATGATTCCCCAGATATAGATACACTGGCATTTACTTTCTCCTACTTTAGTCTATTGTTGAGATGCCATCATAGCAAACTTCCACAGAAGAGAGCTCATGTTTTGTACATATTTCCTTGACGACTAGTACGCGTGCAGATAAGTAAGCTTGGACTTAGTAGTAGTTGCCTTCGCAGAGTATCATTTGCAGACTTGTGGGGCGGCGGCGTTATAATTTTTTTTTTCGGGGAGTGAAGCGAGTTATGCAGTGGTGAGACGGTTTTGCCGCCGAGAGGGTTTGCCGGGTAGACAAGTTTTTGATGGGCGGTGAAAACTTGTCTCCCTGGCAAACTCCCTCGGCGGCAAAACCGTCCCTCCGCGGCATAACTCGCGTCGCTCCCCGAAAACAAATAACGCCGCCGCCCCACAGGACCGTGAAGGAGGCTACAGCTGGAGTACTGTGATTTCTAAGACATAGTAGAGTCATACATGATTATCTCGTTACAAATCGCTCACGGCGATGCTTTGTTGGTGTAAGTTTATGGTTATGTTTTCCTCTATTTGTGTACCGATGACTTCAATATGTAATAGTAGTAATATGTACTACCCACAGGTACATTAGCATGAATGACGTTGTAGTAACATTGTAGGTTCATGATCCCCGAAGAGTACTCGAGTAGTTGACTTTACACGACTTTGTTTGGGATTTGTGCTCATCGCAGTCCTTACATTAATTCGCATTAATTACAATCATGTTCAAGACATCCTCGCTTCCACTCGGTTCTCTTGTTACGGTACACTCATGGGAACGCTTCGATGGTAGCAGGTGTTTGTCTTAGTTGTATTTGTTTAGTGAAACGGGTGAACTTTTTGTGGCTTTCACCACAACGTATCACAAATTTAGCAGTGGGTCAGGTGTAAACTTACTACGCATAACGCTGCATTTCTCCGCGTTGTAGGCACTGGTTTTATTGTATTTAAAATGGTTGAAAAATGGTTAAAAAGTTGTCATGTAGGTGGTTTGTTTGCAGAATTTGAGTAACTGCGCCATATTGTTACGCCCAATAACGTAAAATCAATACTAAGTTACAAAGTTCGCCGTGTTCTGAACAAAGTTTACGTGTCACGCCACCGCCTGGTACCAGCAGATCTACGGTATGTCGTAAACAACTATGACGTTATTATTGATTAGTGGAAAGTACCGAGTATTTTTGGAAAATCACATCATACTCGGAAAGTTGTTACAAGTAGACCTACCTTCTGTAGGTGTTGGTTAGACAGCTGTATATGACGCCCAGAACACGTCCAGGTATCCGCAATATGTTCTCTGCACTTATATTATTCTCAAGTAAAACCTGATTGTCAACAATCCCCATGTTGACGCATTAGTAAGTAACGCTTGGTTGATACCAGTTCATCCTCCGTCCGTTTCTTTTATACATAACTATACAGGCATATGTATAAGCGATAGATTTACTATGGTACCTATGTCTTACGTAAATCGTGCCTTGCACAGAATAATAAAAGACTTTTGAAATATTAGGGTGGGGGAATAAGTGACAATAGAGTAGGCTGCTAGACGTAGAACTTTTTTTTATTTCCAACATGTAATCGCAAGACGTGGTGACGGCACCCTAAAGTTTTTTAAATTTATATTAATGCCGCCACCAACACAGGGGACAGTACAATACTCATTTTCACCTGAGCGAAGTGAGGAAAGTCGTGTAAAGTGTCTTTCCCAAGGCAAGGGCAAAGGATCGGTGGCATGTCAGGACTCGAACCTGGGACCTCTAGGTTCCGAGTCGAGCACTCTGCCGCTACGCCACACGGCCCCACGACGTAGAACTTATACCTACGGTTTTCTTCTGTGCAACAGGTGGTGGTGTTCTGACAACATACATTTCATCATCATCATCATCATTATGTAACGACATGTCAGGCTGGGGACAAACGACTCGAGAACAGCGTCAAACGCCATTGCAGTAAATTTCCAGGTATTTGAGCTTCTGCAGCTTTGTATCAGCAGCATTTTATTTGCAGAATAATAATTTAATTTCCAGATATGTTCAAGGTAACCCAACTCTTTTGTTGAGATGAATTAATGACAGCGCTTCACTGGTAGGAAGTCTAGGTTTTGCCCTTTCCCCCCTTCATTTGTGTTAGCGGTAATCAGCCTGAGAGTGATTTTTTTTGTGAGCCTGGATGATAGGGGGTGGGGGTTGATAATTTTCCAGATATATAAGACTCTTATAGATTTCTTTGTTGAGATGAATTAACTCAATGTATCGTTTGTCGAGAGATTGTGAAATTTATTGTGTCGTCAATTTCAATGGCGAGTGGAGTTGATTGGTACACTGAACTCAAAACGGTTTTGCGGGGGATCTTAGACATTTGGCAAACACAGCCGTCATAATTCAAATATTAAATCAATATTCCCTGCGGAAAACATGTTGCGTAAGTCGTTAAGTTCGTCGTGTCCGAACAAAGTTCACATGTCACACCACAGTCTTGTGACAAATGCTACGGTCTGTAGTAAACAACTGTGACGTAAGTGGGAATTACCCTTGTTTTGTTGGCACAGTTTTTCACAGTAAGGTTTTCTGTAAATGTACTCGTATTTCTGGAGCCTAAGAGTCCTTCAATTTGTCAATTCCAAATCGTATCTTGCACCGAATCAATTATTGACGATAACGAAAAATCAAACCTACGGCAAAATAATGGCACAGCGGCCTGTTAACAGTAGAATAGGCATCTATAGGCAGAGACAATTGTTGATGTACTGAAGACATTTACTGCCATTGTCTAACAACCTATCAAGTCACTAACTCGTCATTACTGTATACCTCCTGGTATGTGAGCTTGGACGATTCACACTAGCAGTGCATTGGCTAGTTGGTTGGTAGGGGGTGGGAGTTGATTGATATTGTTTCATCAGTGTATTACTACTAACTGCATATTGACAATTTCCCAGATATGCTCGACGCTTCATGGTTTTCTTGTCGAGAAGCTCTTATATAATTACGGCAATGCTTCGTTTGTCGGGAGATTGTTTCTTGTTTTCTCTCGCTTCATTTGTTTTACTTTTAGTCGTCAGCCTGAGAGTGAAATAAATTGCTGTGTGGTCAAATTGTATGGTGGAGGTTAGTTGACTGATACATAACTAAAATGGCTGTGTCATGAAGTTGTGGAGAATTTTTATTAGAAATTTCACAAACACTGACGTCGTCATTTATATAATCAATATTCGGAGCAGAAAACATGTTTGTGTTTCGTAAGTCACAAGGTGCATCGAGTAATGAACAAAGTTCACATGCCATGTCAAAGGCTTGTGACTGTGGAGCTAACGTCTGAAGTAAACAACTGTGACGTAAGTGGGAATCACTCTACCCTTGTTTTGTTGGCACAGTTTTTCACAGTCACCTTCATTTGTGTTAGCGGTAATCAGCCTGAGAGTGATTGTTTTTTGTGAACCTGGATGGTAGGGAGTGGGGGTTGATAATTTTAAAGATATACATATATAATTTTTACTAGAGTCTTCTCGATTTCTTTCTTGAGATGATATAACTCAATGTATCGTTTGTCGCGAGATTGTGAAATTTATTGTGTCGTCAATTTGAATGGCGAGTGGAGTTGATTGATAAACAAAAATGAAAACGGCTTTGCGGAGATTTTAGACATTTGGCAAACACAGGCGTCATAATTCAAATAATAAATCAATATTCCGTGCAGAAAACATGTTGCGTAAGTCGCTAAGTGCGTCGTGTCTGAACAAAGTTCACATGTCACACCACAGTCTTGTGACTGGAGCTACTGTCCGTAGTAAACAACTGTGACGTAATTGGGAAGTCCCCAGATTTTGTTGGTGCAGTTTGTTTTCTCTGTTTTTTCTGTACTTGTACTCGTATTTCTGTGACGTACCTTTATTTGTCGAGAATCGTGTCTTGCATCGATCCAATGTTGAAGATATGGGAAATTCTTTGAAGTGTAAAGGCAGAACAGTTTGGAAGTAAAAGATTTATCATCTATCGCGGTTTGAGAGGCAAATGTGTCATCGACATCATCGTCTAAAGACTTTTCAAGTCGTGAATAAAGGTATTCCTGTATGCATCCTGGCATGTAAGCTCGGGCGATTAGCAGTGTATATCGCGGTTTAATCATCTCCATGTGGGGTCGTGTGGTGTAATGACAGATTGCTGGACTCGGAACCAAGAGGTCCCGGGTTCGAGTCCTGAAATGCCACCGATCTTGTGCCCTTGGGAAAGGCACTTAACACGACTTTCCTCCCTTCACTCAAGTAAAAATGTTTTTTTTTTGTTCTTTACATGTATTTGTCATCTGCATTGGTGACGGCATTAAAAAAAATGATATATTTTTAGTGTCTAGGCATGAAATATTGGAATGAAAAAAAATCATCTCCAATATACTATCGATTCTGCTGCATTCTCTTGTTATAAACTCGTGGCAATGATTCGTTAGGGTAATGCCCCCCCCCCCACACACACACTTGTGATAGTTACGAGCCTTAGGCTGCGGTAGCGCAGTGGTTGGTGTTTGTCAAAGTTTCTCAAACTGCTGTTGTGTCGTCGTCAAGAACGGCATTCCAGTAAAATTCCAGTTTTTTTTTAATCTTATACAGCTTTGTATCAGCATCGTTTTAACTGCATATTGATAATTTCCGTATACACACTATGATTTTGCTGAGAAGCACCAATGTCAATGCATCGTTGGTAGAGAGATCATGTTTTTTTCTCCCTTCAATTTTGTCAGTAGTCAGCCTGAGAGTGAAATTCATTATTGTTTCGTCAACTTGGATGGTGGGTGGAGTTGATTCTGTATACACCCTGGCATGTGAGCTTGGGCGATATTACATTAGCAGTGTATTAACTGCATGTTGTTAAATGTTTTGTCTATCGCGGTTTAATCATCCCCAAGGTATTCTCTATGCTGCTGCGTTCTCTTGTTGTGAATTCCCTTATCGTGATAGATAGGAGCCTTAGGCTAGGGTGGCGCCGTGGTTGGTGTCTGTAAAAGTGTCTCAAACTACTATTGTGTCAACAGATTTGATAATTCATGGAGGATGGAGTTGTCACAAAGATACATATCAGTATTTTCCCCTAGTTTAAGTTCTCGACGTTTCCTGTTAAAACGGCTTCGTGCGTTCGATTGCAGAGCTTCAGAAAACAAACGTCATATTTTACACACTCGTGGGAACAGGCACAAGGTGGCAAGGTGTACCATGTCTTGTGGTCAGGTTTGTTGACTCAGAGTCCGAGGGTTCTGAGTTTATGCCCGTGCCTCAGTATTGCAAAGGAGGACATAACATGTGTCTTTATTTTTCAGAAATCGTGCCTTGCCTTCGGCAATAAAGGAGTTTGAAAATGGAAGATGACAATATCGCCAGTCTTTTTCAGAAGGTACAGTTTCTTAAAGTTATCCTGGATATAAGGGTTAGATAAGATTGTTAACTATAATGCCAAATTCTTTGCAAGATTATACCTATAGTTAAACGCCAAATACTTTGCATGGTGTACTTCATGTCGTATTTCTAAGCCTATAAACCTTGTCACGTTATGATGTCATTCATTAGCTTCCTTCATATTTCAGGTTCTCCAGGACATGCTGTCTTTCATAAAGAAGAAAGACGTGACGCAAAGCAGGCAGATAAAGTATGTACCTTACTTTATCCTTGTGCAAACAAAACGACATATTTAGTTAATTGAGACCCCGCAGTTGACTTGGCCACCCTTTTACCTTCGCTAAGGCGGTTATGTTTTCGGTGTTGCTTGTGAGTTTGTGTGAGTGTCTAGAGACAGCAAAACTTGAGAGGAAGTGGTTGGACCAACTGGCGGCGTCCTAAGGTTCTGCAGCGGAACTTTCTTCTTTTTTTAAATCTTGTCGACATGATGTAATGATGATTTTTCAGTGCTAGCCTGCTCTTGGACTCGTTCATAAGTTGTTATTTTCCGGCTCCCTAGCATTTTCTTTACCTGTTGAGGCGAATTTGTTTCTATTCAAGCGGTGCTTATTGAGCGATAAGCTATGATGAGTGAACTTATGCGGCAGTTAACGTTAAACTTTTCAAATAACGCGAAAATATACTAGATAGTTTTACTGCATCAAATGATTAGTCTCCCTGGCAAAAGAAAAACTTTGATATGATCTGGTATTTTTAGCTGATATTGTAATGAAGTCAATTGTAACTGATTTAAAGATACACACTAGGACAATATTCAGTTTTTTTCTTGCCACCAGCCCTGACAAGAAATCATATGCTGAGCTCCAGCTTGCGGGGGACGCTGCACTGCAGAATGGGGATCTGGAAGCAGCAGAGCAACACTTTGTGTCTTCGCTTAAACAAGTTCATAGTAAGTAGAAGTCTTTTTATATTTCTGGGCTTTCAATATAACCATTGAAGATAGCATCTGATACTTAAGGTCTTGTTGAACAACGAACAAAGTTGGTCGTCGCGTCTTAGCCCTCATGCGTAGATTTAGTGTCTACATGGACCTCAAAACAACCAAAACTCACCTTGTGTGTTCTGCGTGTTTAATGGTATTTTAAAGGGGTGGTACAGCCTTGGGCCCCAGCTATTTTCTAGCTGCAGGGGCAGATTTTGTTTGAGACTTTGGAAGGTAATGAATCAAGAAGGGGTTGATGAATTTTCATGAAATTTCGATGTAGACAGCTTAAGTGATATTGGAAGATGGAAATAATTAATGTAAGCTCTAAATATACAGAGTAATCAGAATACTTGTATAATAGAGGGTTGACATTGCATTATTGCATTATTTTACATTTACGTGCAATTTTGCTAGGGTGGTGCCGTCAAAATTGTAAAGTTTTTTTCCAGGCCAGCGAGTACTATGAGCCCAGTTACAAATCTAATGCCACCTTGTACAGATCTAGACTAAAACTCTACAAGAAAAAGAATGGAACTGAAATTAGGCAAGATTTCAATATCATTTTGTAACAGACCGACAGTCGCCTCGACTCCATGAAGAGGAAGAGTGTCTGCGCAAGCTCGGAGAGGTGTACGTCAGACGAGGCGAACAGACAAAAGACGGGCAGGACTTCGCTAAAGCTACGGCGCTCTACAACGCCGCTCTGGTCAGGAACGGCGACAAGCAGCTTCTCATCCACTCCATCAAGGAAGCCGAGCGGCTGTTTCTGTACCATACCGTGAGAATCGACTGCAAACCATCGCCCTACGAGACCGACATCCAACACAAGAAACGGCTGGAAAAGTACAGAACTGAAGTCAAAGCCCGTTTAGACACGATCCACAAGGACCACAATCCGTACCAGTATGACGAAGACGACCCTATAGTCAAAGAAGTCGAGAAGAAACGAGCAGAATCTGTAAAAGACTTGTTCAAGGACATATCAGAACAGAGGAAATGCTTCATCAAAAACCTTGTTGAAGAGTGTATCGAGACAATCGGACCGCCGCCATGTCAGTACGCTATGGTAGGTTTGGGCTCGCAGGCTACAGAACTGGTCACTCCGTACTCCGATCTGGAGTTCGCCATCCTGACAGAGGAGGACAAAGACATCCCTGAAAATAAAAACTACTTTCTGAACCTCACCTGTTACCTGTACTTAAAGATCATCAACCTGGGAGAGACCATTCTCCCAGCAGTGGCGATAAAGTCTCTGAACGACTTTCACTCAGAAGACCCGACGGACAACTGGTTCTACGACTCTGTCACTCCTCGCGGCTTCGCGTTTGACGGGGCCATGCCATGGGCGAGCAAAACGCCGTTCGGCAGAGAGAAGACGAGAAGCAAGCCCGCCGTGAGCCTGATACAAACGCCTGCAGGCATGGCTGAGTTCCAGCGACATGACATCGCCCTCCGTCATGGTTACCACCTGTCCAGCATACTGAGGTACGTCTCCTATCTGACTGGGGATCAGACACTGGTGGACGACTACACGGCAAGAGTCATTCAAGAGCTAGGAACATTTGACGATCAGCAAAAGACCACAGCTGCAGTTAGGTTTGCACGAGCTGCTCTCAATCTTGCTATGCAGGAGAGCTTTAGATTTGGAGATCAGGAAGTGACCGACAAGATACTAGACGTTAAGAAAGCGATATACCGTTTTCCTGCTGTTGCTATTATGAATCTGGCCCTTCTTTGGAACGTGTACGCTACAAGTGTCTGGGACGTCATTGAGGAAATGGAAGAGGCAGGCGTCTTTAGTAAAGAAGATGCTCACCACCTTCAGGTACTGGTCAGCATCTCAGGTGAGCTGAGACTTCGGACGTACCTGGAGCTCGGGGGCCAGAAGGAAAACTTGTCGGGTCTGATGGCAATGCAGAGACAACAGGAAATAGGTGGTGAAACCCTTCTCAAATCAGTGTTTTACGTACCAGACCAGAAGATGCTGTTTAGGTACCACTACACAGCTACTCCTCTTAAGAACAACATCAGATTCGGTCGAATCGCAGTGGGATTCTATGATGCCTCTCCCAGGGTTAAGGCATTTATATGCACAGGGGTTTTGAAGTTCAAGGCAGCGATATCCTATACAGAGGAGGCACTGAGACAGTTGGAAGACGGGCGAGATGCTGTAGCAAATACACATGGTCCCAAATGGAGCCATCATCTCAAGGCTTGTCTCCTGGGAATCAATGGTGCTAATTACACCAAACTTGGTGACCACAGAAAGGCTATCAGCTGCTGGGAAGAACAGCTCAAGGTCCAGCAGCAGCTCCCTGATTATGATTCAATGCACGCCGAGATGGTCCGCACGTATGGAAACCTTACAATGGCCTGCACTAAGGTAGAGGACGTGAAAAGGTCACTCACGTACCCAAAACAGATGTTGTCGATAGTAAACAAGGATATCGATACTGGAGAGTTCAATCTCTCTCACGATTTTCTAAACATACTTTCGAAACTAAATGGTATACTAGAACGTATGGCTGATAACCCGACCCGTGTATTGTATGATCATGGATCAGCATTATTGAGCAGCAGTGAAGAACTTCTGAATGTATTCAAAACATTCAAAGGAGAAAATTTCGTTGATCCAGATATTGCTAGAGAGCTTCTATTCCATGTACAGGGCTGCAATGCAATACGTGATTCCGCGAAAGCCATCACATATAGTGAGAAATCCTTGGAAATGATGAAGAACATATATGGCCAAGATACTGCACATCCTGATATCGCTGAATCACTTACTATCCTTGGTGATAGTTTGTGTAAAGAGCGGGGTGATCATGTCAATGCGTTACGTTGTTATGAAGAGGCCTTAGAAATGAACAAAATTGTCTTTGGGAAGGGCACGCCACATCCTGTTACTTCTAACGTACTCTGCAGAATCGGGGTAGAGAGGTTGCACCTTGAGGATCACCAGAAGGCGCGCAGCTGTCTCGAACAGGCACTACAGATGGCGAAATCAATACACGGAGATGGCGCGCATCATCCCGACATTGCACGTGCTCTTAGGTGTCTGGGATGGCTTTGGTCTACTGTCGGTAATAACCATAAAGCTCTTGAGTTTCTTGAACAATCATTAAAGATGTATCAAGAATACTATGGACAGACCACCACACACCCTGGTACTGCCGAATCATTTGCTTGTATGGGGCAAGTTCTCGAGAAATCTGGAGATTACGTCAAAGCAATCAGTTATTACGAAGAAGCGCTGAAGATGGCGGAAGAGCTTTTGGGCAAGAATACGGAACATCCAGAAATTGCTAAGGTGCTAAGAAACCTTGGATCAGCATGTCGTAAAGCAGGAGAACACACGAAGTCCCTCCAGTACTACGAGCGGGCGCTGGAAATCAACAAGGCCATACACGGGCAGGATGCGACTCACCTTTCTATTGCTGAGTCGCTCTGTAGCCTCGCAATGGTTTACAAAGAGGTTGGAGAGCACAAACAAGCTATTCAGCTCCTCCAGCAGGCCTTAAACATGATGAAAATCATCCACGGCAGAAACGAAACAGGAGACGACGAGGTACGCCATCCAGACATTGCACGTGCTCTCAATAATCTGGGGCAGCTGTGGGATATTTCTGGTGACAATGAGAAAGCTCTTGAGTTTTTTGAACAAGCATTGAAGATGAATCGGGAGCTCCATGGCCAGAACACCCCACATCCTGAAACCGCCTGTACACTCGCTAATATGGCACGAGCTATGGAAAAATCTGGAAATAACTCCAAAGCAATCAGTCTTTTTAAAGAAGCACTGGAGATGATGGACGCTTTGGGGCTTTTGGATAAAATGAAAGACCCAGACCCGTTAAGCAACGTTGGATTAGCGTGGCGTATGACAGGAGAACACGAGAAGGCCCTGAAATACTGCGAGCGGGCACTGGAAATCTGCAAGGGTATCCACGGACAAAATGCGGCTCATCCTGCTATTGCTACATCTCTCAGTAACCTTGCAACAGTTTACAAAGAGCTTGGAGAACACACAAAAGCTATTCAGCTTTCCAGCAGGCCTTAAACATGATGAAAATCAGCCACGGTAGAAACGAAACAGGAGACGACGAGGTACGCCATCCAGACATTGCACGTGCTCTCAATAATCTGGGGCAGCTGTGGGATATTTCTGGTGACAATGAGAAAGCTCTTGAGTTTTTTGAACAAGCATTGAAGATGAATCGAGCGCTCCATGATCAGACCACCCCACATCCCGATACCGCTTGTACGCTCGCTAATATGGCACCAGCTATGGGAAAATCTGGAAATAACTCCAAAGCAATCCGTCTTTCAGGAGAAGCACTGGAGATGATGGACTCCTTGGGGCTTTTGGATAAAATGAAAAGCTCAGACCTTGCCTTGGCGCTAGGCAACCTTGGATTAGCATGCTGTTTGACAGGAGAACACGAGAAGGCCCTGAAATACTGCGAGCGGGCATTGGAAATCTGCAAGGGTATCCACGGGCAGGAAGCGGCGCACCCTTCCATTGCTACATCCCTCAGTAACCTCGCGGCGGTTAAACAAGCACTTGGCGACTACTCAAAAGCTATTCAGCTGTACGAAGACGCGTTGGACATGTTGAAGGTCATCCATGGTGCGAACGGAACACATGAAGGGAAAGAACCGCGCCATCCCGACATTGCCTGTGCTCTCAGTAACCTGGGACACGTTTGGAATATTACCGGTGATAACAAAAAAGCCCTTTTGTTCTTTGAAAAGGCGTTACAGATATACCAAGAGCTCTACGGCCCGACCAACCAACATTGTGAGACCGCCAGAGCACTCACCAACATGGGAATAGTTCAGGGAAAATTAGGAGATCACGTCAAGGCAGTAAGTCTCTATGAAGAAG